AATAAAACCCCCCCCCACCAAAACTCCACACACTCGAAGAGCTATAGTTCTCTCTCGCTTCAAAGATAATAATGATGACACTGTTCAAGTGCCGCATGGTTATTTCTTAATGGGAGTTTTTAAGTTCATTTCTCGACCCCCCCCAAAAAAAACAACAAAACAAAACAAAACCAAAACCCAACAACAACAACAAACACCCCAAAACAAAACAAAACAAAAAACCCACAAACAAAAAAAAACAAAAAAAAAAACAACAAACAAAAACAACAAAAAACAACCTAACAAAAAAACCAAAAACAAAAAAACAAAACAAAAATACAACAAAACCATTAATACATTAAAAAAAATAAACGACGAAAACAAAAAAAACAACAAAAAATACCAACAACAGCAAAACAAACAAAACAAACTACAACAAAAACCCAAACAACAAAAACAACAAGAAACAAATGGGAAAAAAACCTCTCCAAAACAGAGCCGCATGTCAGGAATTCCTCGTTGATCGTTGTGTTACCAACAATGGTCACTTGCGTCACAAGCCAGCATGATGCTGACATTACATTACTGACAAAGATTAATTAGCGTACGCTGCCCCAGTGCAAGATTCATAGTTTTATCACTTTTATCCTGTCCTTTTGCAATTAATCAAGAAGATTTCCGAACCGCCTTTTGTGTCTCTCCCTTGTAGAGGATGGTTGGCGGGTGCTCTGGTGTGGTTTGCTCCGTCTTTTGGCATCAAACATCCCTTGTCTCCATTTTTCCTCCTTCTTTGTATATAATTATATTATGGATGCTACTCTTTAGGGACCGTTCACAAATGACGTCAGCTCAAAGGGGGGAGGGGTGGGGGAGAGGAGGGGGTTCCTTGAAAAGTTGACGTAACTTGACATGGGGGTGGGGCAAGGAGCTTAGAACTTTTAACCTCCTTAGGGTGGAGGGTTGGAGGGGGGGGGGGTCTTTACAAAGTGACGTCAACTACGGTCAACCACCATATTGTTCTAAAAGTACTAAAAGGTGGGGGAAAAAAGAAAAGAAAGGAAGAAAAAATATTGTGGACCTCATTTTCTTGGCCTGAAATTAACAGTTAAATTGGACCATATCATTATTTTTCCCTTTGAAAACTTGACAGTTCAGGTAATACTTTGTTGTATTCTTTGATAAACAATAGTTTTTATTTTTGAAATTAAAAAAAGGTTAAATATAAAATGCGTCCAGTACAGGTTCTCTCTAAATGTACATTTACATTTTGGTTGACGTCTACCAGGGAAAAGGGCGGGGGCGTGCTGGGAAAGATGACAGAAGAAGACAAGGGGAGAGGGTTTAATTTTGGCCAAATTTTAGCCGGCATCATCTGTGAACGTTCTCCTTGTAACACCTCTAATCTTCGGCTCTTATATTATGAGCTAATTGCGTTGCAAGTGCAGTTAAACGTTCACTAAAACTCTCCCCCCCCCCCCCCCCCCCCCAAGTTCTGGGATTTGTATGTTACTCTCGAGTAACACCTCTAATCTTGCACACCTACCTATAGGACCAAATTGTTTTGCAAATGCCGCAAAACTCTTTCTAAAACTAAAACATCTGTCCCTATTATTGTCCTCAGTTCTGGGAGTGCATCAGCGACGAGCACGGCATTGACCCAACAGGCAACTACCATGGAGACAGTGACCTTCAGCTAGACAGGATCAACGTCTACTACACAGAAGCCCAAGGTCGGTAGCCTACTCAAGACACTCTGCTTCTTCTGTTTTGTTTTGGTGTTTTTTACGCCCCCATCGACACAGTTTGGATGATTTGTTTTGGAGTATCTTGAACATTCTTCTGGGATTTTATATACCTGAACTCTACTCTCAGCCAGGGTTGACTGTGGCAAGCAAGATCCAAGTCTACCTTCTATTTTATTATCTAAATTGTGTATGTGTGTGTATGTGTGTGTGTGTGTGTGTGGGGGTGGGGGTGGGGGGGGAATGGGGGTGGGGTGGGGGGGGCATAATAATGCATAAAAGAATCCTGAATTTATATAATAGTTAGAAATTGAACCCTGTCAGCTGGAGTCAGAGCTGTTGCATAACCTAGGCATGGATAGGCCCTATATAATATATGTGGATACAGGATAAAAAACTGGTACAAGAACATGATGGTATTAGAACTTGTGTTTGTTGCCATTGGTGTAGTGTGTATGTATGTGTGTGTGTGTGTGTGTGTGTCTGTGTGTGGCTTTAAGTAATATTTCATATCTCTCCTCCTTTTTGTGTTTATTACTCTCTTGTAAAACCTCAAATATTTGTCACTTATATGACATAATTGTGTTGCAAATACCGTAATAAACGTACTAAAACCAAACTATCTCTCCTTCTTCTTTTCTTTGTACATTACTCTCTTGTAACACCTCTAATCTTCGGCACTTATGTGGCCTCATTGTGTTGAAAGTGCAGTAAAATCCAAACTAAAACTACCCCGCCCCCCAAAAAAACAAACGAAAAAAAAAAAAAGCAACAGCAGCAACAACAACAAAAGTCCAAAAGAATACTCTCCAACAGAACTTTCTGCATTGTCTCCCTAGGAGGTAAATATGTGCCCCGCTCTGTCCTCATCGATCTGGAGCCTGGAACAATGGACGCCGTCCGCTCAGGACCCTTTGGTCAACTGTTCAGGCCGGACAACTTCGTCTTCGGCCAGACCGGGGCGGGAAACAATTGGGCCAAAGGTCACTACACAGAGGGGGCGGAGCTTGTGGATACTGTGATGGACGTTGTCAGGAAGGAGTCGGAGAATTGTGACTGTCTGCAGGTCAGTGGGCGGGGCATATGAGCGAAGACTTTCATGGCATGGGTTTTTGTTTGTTTGTTACGTTGTTTTTATGTATGTATTCATTATTTATCTGGGTTTTTTTTTAGGGGGGGAGGGTGGTGGTGGTGGAGGTGGAGGTTAGTGTCAGTTTTTAGCATGATGACGTCCACATTTCTCCTGATATAGATAAAAGGATACCGATGATGCAGACAAGATTGTCATATATTTATTTACATTAGCTAGATTTTATTTTTGTTGTCTGATTCATAATGTTGTTTTGCCCTTTGTCCAGTATTCATTAAGTTTATGTTGTATTTTTAGATTTTTATTTCCTTCACATAAGTCTTCATCGCGGAGTAGATAAACACATATTATGATGTATATATATATGTTGAGTGGAGAGAGAGAGAGAGAGAGAGAGAGAGAGAGAGAGAGAGAGAGAGAGAGATTTTGCTTTTTTGGGTCACATGTGCTTATTTTGGTGCGGATATTTGTAAGTTACGTAAAAAGAATTTTAATTTTAATGGGCGGACATGGTACAAATTGTTATGCTTCAAGAAAGACAAAACAGGAAGAAGGGTTATTGCTAGGTATGTTGTGATGATGATGGCGGCAACGGCGATGATGCTGAAATGTCGGAAATGATGTACAGGTTAATTTTTGTGATAGTTTATTTCTTCGTTTGACGCTTACTTTAGATCCTCATTACCAAATAAGTTGTCATTATTGTAAGCTTAATGGTAAATGCACTACATGTAGTGTCCAAGGACCCCAACCAAGCTGGGTTGTACTGTTCACGTTATATTAAGTGTATTGTAGGGTCCCTATGTTATCAAAATTCAGCCCTTATAGTTTTGTGGAAATGTTCAGTTCAGGTTTGTGTCCTTGTATTGACCTACAGGGATTCCAGCTGGCCCACTCTCTGGGCGGCGGCACCGGCTCTGGGCTGGGTACTCTCCTCATCAGCAAAATGAGAGAGGAATATCCGGACAGAATCATGACGTCCTTCTCTGTTGTACCATCCCCTAAAGTAAGTCAGTTGGTTACGATTGTTAGGTAATAATAATAATAATAGATAGATAGCATTTGTATAGCGCATATCCCCGCTCAACAGCAGGCTCTATGCGCTTTACACTATATTATTACCCCAGCAGACCATAGTACACTCCGAAACATTCTCAGCTTCCCGGGAAGGTACTGGGGGTGGGGGTAGTGTGAGTGTGTGTTTGTGTGTGTGTGTGTGTGTGTGTGTGGGGGGGGGGGGTATCCCATTAAGTGCACATGAGTTAGACATTCTGTTGGAAACATGGAGGAATCCCTTGAAGTAAGTTTGGTATGTGAGAAGTTTCATAAAATAAATTCATAAGGAAAGAGGAGTCCTGAAAGTGAAAGTAGTTAAGGTTTGGTGAAATCCTGTGATGTAAATTTCATGGGAAACCCCCTAAATTAAGTTGCAAGAGGGAATCACTATCAGGGGAAGTAAATTGGATGTAATGAATCCCCTCTGTAGCAAGTTTAGTAGGCCTATTGTGTGAAGACCACTTCTTCACAGTCCCCTGTTTGTTAACATTCCTGAGTTTCAGGATTTGTTGATGGTCTCACATGCATTTTTCATCATTTTCATATATATACATAGTAGGAGCTCTGTATATTTGATTTACTCTATAACCAGATGCCTGTCATTAGAAGTAGAAGTGAATTCATAGGCACTTTAAGAATACGTCTTTTGTTTTGGGCTAAGTCTCGTTTCGCTATACATGTATTATTTTAAGCATTCTATTGGCCAAAGTAATCCATAGTCTTGTCACCAACATTTCAAGTGTCATGATGGATTTCATGTCTTCATTGGTGTTTCTGTTTAAAAATATTTTAGAGTGTAATGCAGTGAGTGAAATATTCTGCAAATAGGTAACTGAATAATAAAGGTCAGTGTAAGGTAAAATTCCCCTGGGAATGAGTGAAGTGGCATTTTCATTTTGACTACTCATTGTAGGACTCCTTCATTCATCACTTTTCAAAATGGCATAGGGCAGAATCTTTCACTAAGCAGTCGATTTCTGTTTTTCATAATTGCTTGTAAATTGTGTTTTACAGGTCTCAGACACCGTTGTAGAACCCTACAACGCCACCTTGTCTGTGCATCAGCTTGTAGAAAACACAGACGAGACATACTGTATCGACAACGAAGCTTTGTATGACATCTGCTTCCGCACCCTCAAACTGACCACCCCCACATACGGTGACCTCAACCATCTAGTCTCCATCACTATGTCTGGGGTGACCACCTCGCTGAGGTTCCCAGGCCAGCTCAACGCTGACCTCCGCAAACTGGCTGTCAATATGGTGCCCTTCCCTCGACTCCATTTCTTCATGCCTGGCTTTGCTCCCCTGACCTCTCGTGGAAGTTCCAATTACCGTGCCCTAACAGTGCCAGAGCTGACACAACAGATGTTCGATGCCAAGAACATGATGGCCGCCTGCGATCCACGCCATGGCCGATACCTCACAGTGGCTGCTATTTTCCGCGGCCGCATGTCCATGAAGGAAGTGGATGAGCAAATGCTGAATGCACAGAACAAGAATTCCTCGTACTTCGTGGAATGGATCCCCAATAACATCAAGACAGCCGTTTGCGACATTGCTCCTCGAGGCCTGAAGATGTCCGCCACTTTCATTGGCAACAGCACCGCCATTCAAGAGCTCTTCAAGAGAATTTCAGAACAATTTACAGGTAAAAAATGCCATGAAATAGTAGTTTCTAACATAGTGATTGAGATAAAGAAACAAAGTTGTTAGAGATTGCTTTAATCTTCTTTGCTCACCGTCAAGTTTCAAAATTTGAAATCCAACCTCCCACATCCACCTTTGATAAATAATATCTAGATAAGAGATGCAAGTTTCAAACTTTCAAAAATGAAACTTAATATTCTGAAGTTAAAAAACAACAGTAAATGTTGCTTTCTCTCAAATATTGCTAAGTTGTTTTGATTTGATTTTACATTTTACTTATTCCCAAAGACAACACGTCTAAATGTGATTTTTCTACATTAATTCCACAGCTATGTTTCGGCGTAAGGCTTTCCTCCATTGGTACACCGGAGAGGGCATGGATGAGATGGAGTTCACAGAAGCTGAGTCCAACATGAACGACTTGGTCTCTGAGTACCAGCAGTACCAGGATGCCACTACGGAGGAGGACGACCAGTTTGATGAAGAAGAAGGAGAAGTAGAAGAGGGAGAAGGAGAGTACACTGCATAAGATTCAGTGAGCTGAAACATGATCAAAACAAGCTGGTCATATATTATCTGTGTCATCACAGCTGCAACCTGGGATTGGGAAATGTATTTACACAATTTGAATTGATTTGCATGTTGTCTGTTACAGTGAATGAGTAACAGAAGGGTTATTCACTCTTTTTATAGAAATGAAACTGTTAATGCATGTATTATTGTTATTCTGTAACTAATGAATAACGCAAGCCCAAATAGCATTCACTTTCATAAAGTTTACACCAAAGAATCTATGCAATTTTTTCATTTCAAATAATTGTTGTAATCTTGTAACTGACTTCAATATATATTGTGAGTGAGACTGAAATGACATCTGATCCCTTCGTGTCAAAATTTCATCAAGACATTAGTTAATTCCATCTACATGTATCTTCGGAGCTTGCTTAAATGCCTGGCAGAAGTTGGAATGAACCTTGAACCTTTGTGAGCCTTTTACTCTAGCAGAAATCATGTCTGCCTTGTAATCATCTTATGATTTTATAATTTGATTTACGCCAAAAGTAAAAGAGCCTAGGACCATCTCTTCAGTTGCCATTATATTGTCTATTGGGTACAGTACACAAAATTTGCAGTATCACAAATCAAGACAGCTTTATCAATGAAATGTGTGCCACATTGGCATTTGTAGACCGTGAGTATCTGAATCAAAAGGAGTTCTTGGCCAGTCATTAATGTCATTGACTTGTACCTCCTTCCCTGTTCTTGTTTATTATCTTTGTCTACTATTGATGAACATTTTTGATGGCCATTTTTCTTGCCAATGACTGCTTTTTTTTGGCTTCTTCTTTGTGACCAAAATGAATATTATGCAGGGTTATCTGCTTCATCTGGTGAAAAATGAGTGAAACCATGAATACAATGAACAATTAATCATTTAATTGCTTTTGAATTTTCTTTTTTGTTCACTATAAAAAAAATATTTCTGTTTCTCACCATGGAAAATCTTTGCTGTTCTATATATTTTTTAAAACAATGTTGTTGGAGAAAATTAGTGTAAGGTTTAGGCTTAAGACGACAGTGTAATTGAAGTAAGAACGCTTTTTGGGGGGTAAATTATATATACCAGTCTGCTGTTGAGTAGGATTGCAAGAATGGTAAAATATAGTGCCTACCACCCCCTTCCCCCACCACTAGATCTTCACAACACTCGACGATCGCAGCGCACTGTTTCCTTTGTTATAGGTCATAAGTGCAACCCTACTGGGACCCCACGTCCGTGATATCGAATGTTGCATGCTTGGTCAACCGTTTCAAAATGGTGGGGCTATAATTACTCTTTACTTTTACCTGAAATTGGTGTCCTTCTCCTCAGCTGTCCAACACAAAACATGTTCCAAAGCTCTCTCTTGAACTCTTGTCCTTCCTTGGTAATTTTGTTGGGTTCACGCCCATTTCAACACTTGAGGAATATTTATTTTATGAGGCGGGACTTCAGAACTTGAAGACCATTTCAGACAAAATCGAACCTTTAAAATTCAACTTACTTATATCCAAGTTATATTCAAAATTTTAAAAAGGATACGAAGTGAGCTGACGGTTCGCTGCGTGGTGGTTACAATTACAATGAATAATAAATGTGCACTAATAAACATTATCATCTACCCTCTGGCAGTTATTGTACCGGCTTGCATCTGTTTTGCTGGACTAACAACGCTGTATCGGCATTTACCAGCCGGGCACATTCTATCATGTAGGGCCTAACAGAGGGTTAAATATCATGGACAATCTGGCATTCGTTACAGACTCCAGACCGACAATCTCCCTGTAGATAGGCCCCTAGTTATGTTATCAAAGCAATTAATGGGAGATTCTGCAGCACGGGGCGCCGGCTCATGGCAATATGGGGTAGAGAAAAAAAAAAGAACTTCTACTTCTAGCTTTGGGTCAGCGCTCGGACACGTTGGGTCAAAACTGACGCTATTCTATGAATGCTAAGAAGGGATGCTTAGTAGTCAGGTCGACCTCATCTGCATGATCAAATCGGATCAGGTCGGTGAATGGCGCTGGCCAGTGCATACAGTATCAAATAGAGACCTCTGCTTTGCTTTATCTAAATTGACCTGGGTACATTTCTGTTAGGCCTAGGACCTATCATATTCTTCTGCGTGCATACAAAAGATCCGACATTGCAACGTCACTTGGTGCGAAATAATTACTAAATATATTTTATTTCTCAATGTCTGACGGTGACCACAGTAGGCCTACATGTAGCTACCTAACTTGCTGTTGTTCACGATTTTCACCAAATGCGCTCGATTTGATCTAGATCTAGACCAATACGTTATATTTTGATTTTGGAGGATAGGATCCAATTGTGCCAAAAACGCGCCCCTCACCCCCCCCCCCCCCTTTCAAGAAGAAAAATCATGGTGCCTTCTAGGGACCTTACCATATCAAAGCAGTTGTTTATTTTTTTGAGTAAAGAGGAGCACATCGAAGTCATTCAGTGCGGGGAAAAGCAAGGTAGACAGACAGAAGCAACAGAGGCGCCCTCTGATCACCCGTATAGCGTATAGCAGTTAACAGGATTTGACGAAAATTTCTACTTTGGGCACTGCTGTCAGGGGCGAAAGCACAACGCAAAAACTTTACTTTATTCAAACGTAAAATATAAAAAGGAAATGATAAGATTGGTGAGCCTTCATTTTGATGAAATAGAGGCGACGGAGCAAGAGAAAGAAGCTGACGTGGAATTGGAGACACTAGATGATGGAAAGGCAGATTAAAAGAGGCAATGAATGCCTTGCTGACGTGAGCGTGTTGCAATTATGAACCAGCAAGATTAGTAATTTTAGACGACTGTTGGTTGCTGCTTCGGCCGTGTGACTTAAGAAGTTTCGTACCGATACGATAGACAATGAATCAAGCGGGAACGTAACACAAACAGCATGACAAGAGTGAAGATGTCAGAACATTAGGTCTGGAGTAACAAGGATGTTAGTACATACATGTACTAAATGTCATGTTGTTCGTCCTTCGCATTTGAAGATGACCATGACTTCACAAATTGGTCTGTTGACGGTTACTGTGAGTCCGGAGATGGCTGATTAGTCCTATCCGGGCTCGAAAGGTTCGCCCACATTGTGGGCACGGGTAGTCTGCTGTTGGACTTGTGGTGGAGGCAGGTCTGGACTTGCGCACGTTGCGTTTTTGTTTAGCCTCGGCGATCCGCTTGGCCTCTGCTGCTTTGGCTCCCTTCGTTAGCTTGCAGCACCACGTTGGACGATCTTGGGCCAGCGTTTCCCACGAGTCGTTCAGGATTCCAAGTTCCTTGAGGGAGACTTTGAGGCAGTCCTTGAAACGTTTTTTCTGCCCCCCAACTGAGCGCTTGCCATGAAGCAGCTCTCCATACATCAGCTGTTTGGGCAACCTGCTGTCCGCCATTCTGATCACGTGGCCGGCCCATCTGGCTCGCGTTTTGTGGAGGATGGTATAGATGCTGGGTGTTCCGGCTCGATCTAAAACAGCAGTGTCTGGGGCTTTGTCCTGCCATCGGATGCGGAGGATTTTACGAAGACAGCTAAATGTACCACTTCGCCAAATAGCAAGACTATGTTTGAACTCTTTTGAGCTCAATTTCTCAACCTGAGCACAACCGGCGAACATCTAAGGTTTACCCATCCCGGAAAAAAACCCAACAAAACTTTAAAAGCAAAGTGAAAAAGTGAGAGAAGCAACTACATTATAATGCTAAGGACAAAACACAAATAAACCTGTTACTGTTGCTGCTATTGAAAAGCGGGTAAATTTCGGAGCCCGCATCTCTAAAATGAATGTTCTACAAGGAGCTTAGAACTGTAAACTCCCTGGTGTTCTACCCCTTTTGCCCGATTGCATTCTACTGGTGGCATCTTGGAGGCTGGATAAGAAGAGGTAGCCTGACCACACCCCTAAAGTATGGGTTTAACGCCCCTATCAACCCAGTTAGGCTAATTAAAAGGGAGGCACCTTCGAATTTAACGTCCGTCTCCGACAGGACTGAACCAATTAAGTTGAGAGTCTTGAAAGCGCAAAACAATTTCACATAGGGGATTTGAGCCTGGGCCATCGGCTCCATAGTCCAGCATGATACATCATCATGTACATAATACATATATACATGTATACAAAATGAGCTGTCAAAGCACCCAACGCTAGGGCTGGGCAATGAATCGCTTTGTCAAAATCCGGATAATATGTTAGTGCACCTGTTTGGCAAATAATATATTATATGAACCTCTTTAGCAAATGGGTTAGAGCCAGGGGCGAAGGCTGACTTGTTTGACACTGACAGGGTAATCAAATTGAAATGGAACCAGATAGGGCCTGGAGATATCACACTCACACAAGTCACAAGAATCTTACTGGCACTGGAGGCGGCAACTCTGAGTTGTGAATGAAAACAAATCCTGCAATCATGTTGTATGCTTGTTCAATCGCTAAAATAATCGGGAAAGTATTTCATTAAATATTTATTTTAACGTTAAATTTAACTTTAGATTTGAACACACGAACACCAAGGAAAGAAGCAGAGATGTCAGCACTACAATGGCATGTTATACCAGACAGCCGAAACACTTTGGTAGAGCATGCCAATTATTAATTTTTTATTTCACATTTGGCTGTTTTTTGTCTAGCTTTTCGCGGCCAGGAGCCGGTGTCATAATCGAGGTCACGATCTGATTATAGGACGTTAAAAAGTCGAGGAAAAAAACCAAGCACTAGCACTGTAGTAGCAGGAGTCAAAGGATTATTAGGAGTTAGTTCCCCTCACATCTGTGAGGTAGACTCGACCAGTGTAATAGTAATACATGTAGTTGCTTACCTAATCAGCGCGTCTGGGTGCTTATAACTGGGGCCCGAAAGGGGTAGCGACAATGAAACAGTTCTGACTGCTATGCACATGTTCCCTTTAACTCTATTGGTTGACTCTTCCAGCCTCACTTTAAACTTACTTAATCAAAGCTTGTGACTGCTTATGGAGTGGCCCAATAGGGGCGAACAGGCTATTTCTGTGGCAATGAAACGGTTTTGAAGGTTAGGCATAGTCTATTGTTCATTGGTGATTATGAACGTCTTTTTACATTTAATTTATGAGGTTTACGTCTATGGGTGAATTTGACTGCGACAATGTTTCAAAATTAGGAAGGGAAGCAGTGATTATTTGATTATATAGACGCTTCGCCTCTGGTTAGAGCCACTTCGACAAACAGGTTAGCACTACCTACTACTTCAACAAATTAAATGGGTGCACCCTCCACGGCAAATGGGTCAGGGAAGAGAGGTTAAGAGTCAGAATTCGGATAATGTTTCATTGAGAATTAGAGCCATCCGGTTATCCTTATAGTAGATTATCCGGATTTTGCCCACCTCTACCAACACCCCGAACCATTGCCCCGAACAGTCGCTGATGGAGAACGTTTTGGGCGCTCATCCGACCAACATCCGAGAAACTATGATGATGAGGTCGGCGGAAACGAGTTGCTTTGACTTTGACTTTGACTCGTGTTTGGAGAGTGCCACTGGTGATGGGTACTACTTGTTTTCTTTTCCCGTGTGTTGTTTCTGTCTGTCTTGCTTCCCTGCCTGCACTAGCCTATACTATTACTATATGACAGATATTGTGTGGATGTGCTTCTGTCTGCTCAAACTAAAAGGTAAAACTGACCCTGCCAGTCAGGGCTAACCTGTGCTGAGTAGGTTGGATACATTATGACACAGTAATTTCCCCACACGGGAGTCCAACCTGCATCTTCTTCGTGCAAAGCTTGACTGTCTTACCCTTACATTACAATACATCACCGACGCCAATGCGGACAGATAAGCTACAATATTCTCTGCTGATGCAGCCAAAGGTTTGTTTGTTTAGTCTTTGTTTTATAGCACTGTCTATAAAAGACACAATTAAGGTCAAATATAAATATAAGCCCCGCACTTTGAAAAGGCTCCCATTTTTTTGTTTGTTGGTAAGTCGTGTTTTACGGCGCTCATGACTGCATAAAGTCATATAAGCGCGTGGGACACACCAAACATATTTTGACTCCCTGCTTTAGTTTTAGTTCTAAGAAGCAAAAATGGCACCCCCACCCCATTTTTCCCCATGAAGGAAAAACGTTTTGTAAATATATGGTAAACATTTTCAAAAAAAAAAAAAAGAGATATCTATGTTTACACTATACTACACAGATTTTTTGGGGGATAGTCCATGGTGTCCTAAGATGTTACAGAAAGTTACCATAGAGAGCAGACCTTTCTCTATGCCTTGAAGGCTAACCCACTAGACCTACAAAATTATAGTGTGGTCAAAAATTTGTGGTGCAACTTATTCTCAAATATCTCTTTAACGGGAGAATCAATGTCATACATACTTTACATAGCAGTTTGTATCAATTTGTCTTAACTAAATCATATTTTTCTAGAACAATTGGGGCTAAATTAAAAAACTTTTCTTCATAAATTTGTATAAAAAACTTGAAATCTCTGTCACGTGTGAAATGGTATTGTTAACAGCACTTCCCGCTTCTCATACACATTTTGATTACGCATATATATGGCCTACGTCACTGCTCATCAAAGACAATTTTTACTTGCAGAAGTTATTGTTATGGTGAACACTTTTTTGCACTAATGGCTCTCAAAACATGCGTTCAATAAGCATAATGTCCCGATTAGAAAACCTGACGGACTTGCTATTAAAAGCTATATTGCCCCAGCTGTAAACATTTAAAAATCTGTAGAAACCATCCACTTGGATTTTTTATTAGTATTTTTAAAGGAATTTTCAAGAATACAGGTGTTTACAAAAATGTTGATCTGTTAAGACAAATTGATAAAGTCACTGTGCAAAAATTGGATAACTATGTTCGATATAGTTTTAGGAGATATTTGAAAATAAGTCGCACCACAAATTTTTGACCGCACTTTGTTTGCGAAATTGTTTGCGACGGTCATCAAGTGATGAGAAGAAACTGCATAAGGTCATATGAGCGCCAGAAGATGACAAAATTAGAGGTGTTACAAGAGAGTAACAAACAAACAAGAAGAAGGGGAGATAAGGACGATAGATGTTTGATAGGAAAGAAGAAGCAGACCACACCAGAGCACCCACCAACCACCCACTGAGAGGAAAAGTGGTTGTCTTAGGTGGACGTCTTGGACAGTGTTATTATGATACACGGAGAAAGAAATACAGGAGGGGGGGGGGGGAAGTTTGTACAATCGGCCGTAAGAGCAGGTTTTGACAGAATGGGTTTAACATCCCATTCAGCAATGTGTAAAGTATCTATGACACAGGAGTGAATTTAACATCCATATATTTGATAGGATAGACAGGACCAAGTCATATGGTCTTGGCACCTTCCCAAACATATTCAAGAACACGGACCATGGCCTTCCACTTCCACACCATTTTCCAAAAGAGAAAAGTTAAAATTTGCCTGAAATGAGTCTGTCTAAATTGTGAAACTAATACAAGCACATTGCTGATAAGTTAGCAGTCATAAAATGACAAGAGTAAACAGTACGTTACTGATCCGTATAATTAATTATTATGACATCCCCTTTTAAACATGAAAACAATTTTCCAAAGTCTACAATTGTGCAATTCACCCCCTTCAAAAGTTGTGAGAATCAACGCATCAACAAAATAATGGCCATTTTGAAAGAAAGACAGATGTGAAGAAACAACAGGGGGGAGAGAAAAGAAGTAGGCTTACCAGTGAAAACTATCTACCACTCGCCCCCTTCAAAATGTTCCGCTTAAAAAAAAGCCACTGTAAAAGAATCTCTACATTTCCAATGGACAAGTAAAAACTGCAAAAATTGGATAATCATCATCATTGCCTTTCTCACCCTGTACCAGGGTATATGCCACAAACACTTTCCACCTTTCTCTATACAGGGCTTGCCTCTTGATGTTATTCCATGTCTTTTCACTTTTCTGTACATCAATTTCTGCGATTCTTCTCCAGGTAAATTGGATAATCATAATCAAAAACAGTCAAACCTTGTGTTACCAGCCCCCATTATACCACCTGTTTTTTTCCGATGTAAGAAAAGGAGCGTCTTATTATATAAACATAGTACATGTATAAATTACGTCTTCACACTGCCCTCCACCAACAGTTGTACGGTCCTTATTCAACTTATGTAAATCTTCCCAGCCATACTGCCAGAAAACTTGACCCTCAGAGTCAGAGGTACACACGACACAACAGTCAACACCCACAGTTTGGCTTCTTGATAATTTTTCTCTCATGAGAAAGACATAGAGAGAGAGAGAAGATTCTTGACTCAGAATACAAGTGCATGTTCCAGGGGTACATGTATATCACCAACAAAAAGACACTTTTCAAACACAGAGGAACCCCGTTGTTTCAACTTCATGCTCATCCCAAGGGTGGCGGTATAACGAGGTTTGACTGTACAGTCGAGTCTGCTGTTATGGCCACCTGTATGAGAGAATTACCAGTACAAATGGCCAATTCCCCCTTGTGTTTTTTTATATCATAATGACACTGTGTAAGACACCTACTCCTACCTATCTAAGATGGCCACTTTTCTCGTGGACAATGCGTGGCCGCCTTAGACACTTCAACTATATTATTCTTTAAATTTACATTTTAAGAAGGCAAAAGAATAGTTCAATTGACGAAGCAGCAAACACTGACATTTTTGAAGTCCCAAATTTTGCTTTATAATCTATCAAGCCCAGTGTTTCCCTTCCTGGAAGTTGGGAAACACCACTTTCAAAAGTATTGATCTAAAGAAACCCAACTTCTTGCAAAAGAACAAAGCGAGAGAACAACACTTTGTATACGTATTAACTTTTAATTTTAATACAAAACTGTACAAAACCAGATCAAAATGATAATGCAGTAGTTGTCAGTTTCAAAGTATAGTTGAAAACATTGCAGGTATTGAACAAATGCCATTTTCCTGTTGATCCTCCTGCGGAGTAAAATCCTAAAGCCTAAAGAATCCTACAATTCTAAACTGTCAAGTCCAATAACTCTGTGCCCAAAATCTCTGCACTGCACAAGATCACCTGCAGAGTGTCTGAACAGGAAAGATTTCTCCAGATTTCAACTACATGTAGCAAGAATAAGGCAAAAGTTAATGGAACACATTCACAACATGACTGATTACTGAAGTGAAAACCTAGAACATTAACATTATTTAAATGTTTTGCTCGCTGCAAATTGGAAAAAAAGATGTTCCAAACTGTAACGTCAGCTCAAATTGTTCAATCTAATTTATTTACCTCCATTTATACATAATTTGAATAAAGAAATAATGATACATGTACCAAATTGAGATAGAAAAATGGAAGTATTTTCATTTTATATAAAATCTTAGAAAACGTCATATTGACCCGGATTCAATACATGTACTTCGTATTCCTTTCAAACACCATTCTCGGCCCAATGTTCATGCTTGGTTTTTTCCTTTCAACACATGGAGCTTTGCAGTTGGGTGAGAAGGTAACTAACTGTAGCTACACATTTAAGCTTCATGATAGAAACACATTTTTCCATTGTATGAGCAGTGCAGATGCAGGGGCACAGAAAGAAATACACCACATCACTCAGTTTTTTTTAGATTGATACGTCAGCTATGATGAAGGTGGGCTTCTTTGACTCGAGTGGGATACAACATCCAAGCTGACAGATGCAGACACGAGACTAAATAATTTCCCTGAGCTGAAAACAAATAACTTCCTTAGGTGCAACAGAGAAAAGCCTAACCATTACTACACAGACCTCCATCATGTTCACACACAACTGGAAAGTAAAGCAAGAGAAGAGAGAAGGAATGACGGGTACCATTTCCCAGACGACAGACACTCAACTTGTGCTACTATCCTCAAGCTAAAAAATTTACTACCACTTCCCGAGCTGCAGACAAGAAAAATGGCATCCACATCTAAAAGTGGGACATTAGCCACCAAACAATATGAGGCTGGAATAGTCAATTTATCTTAATTCTAGAGAAGAGGTAACTTTACTGAATTGTCATGGAAAGCCAACAACAAAATTCAAGCTACTCTATCTCCAGCCTCAACACCACCAAATCAAACACTGTGTGCTGGACCAGTGATGAAAATACAAACATAGATAACTTTTTGTAATTAATACGTGGTCACGTTAACACATTCTCTGTTTGTTTGAAAAACATATAAACGTTAGAACAATAATTATTCCAATCTCAGTGATGAGTACGCTTTTTCTGAGAAAGCATAGTTGGCAGCCATGATCCTGTCCAATCTGTCAGCCACATGGTGGCTGGTCACTTAGATGTTATTAGCTTACAGCGTGCTCTACAATCTCAAAAGACATGTTCCAATCAGAGGGCATATACATATAAATACTTTACTAGGAATACATACACGGCAAATCTAAAATATTAGGTCTCCAGTGTAAAAATGCAATTATGGCTTGCATTAGACAAAACGTCATGATTTTACCAACCATGAAAGACAACTAAAATCATTCTGTTACAAAACAATAGCCATTCATAGTCAGTTGCTCACACAGTATCAATAATACACTTTTCCTGTGTCATTGAGTAAATATTTCCTCCTATTCTGAAATACATTTACAACACCAATTCCAATACCGTAACTCCTTGCTACTGCATTGCCCTGTTCAAACAACAATTGCTGCTACTCTTTTTCATGAATGTCTCAACATGGACTTGAGGTCTTGACACTGAGCAGGGTCAGAGACCAATCGTGTATGACCTTCCCTTGGGGTTGTGGATAGGGGAGACCTGTCCACCACAACGGAATGCCCACTCGTACCAGACGTTCTTGGACGTACACCTTCTCCAGATATCAATGGATATTGTTGATCCTTTAGTCATTGTGATAGGAACCTGCAAATGCAATGATGGTCTAAAAATGAGAAGGGTGGATGAATACAACGGGCAAATAGTAAACATTTTAAAGACCCCATTCACACTATATACTCCATTTGTGAGGCAGCGTGGTGGAATCAGGCTCTTGTCAATTTTTGGACACGTAGAGTAATTTGTATCATCTTAAAGCTTGTTCACTTGTCTTATTTTGAGGGAAAAAATATCCATTTATCTTGAATACAAGTCAAGATATTTGCGAAAGAAGGAGGTTGGGTTCAGTCGTTTTCAGAGGTAAAATTAGTGAGAAAATGGCCACCGAAGATTAGTTATTTCCTTAGCTTAAGAGTCCCTGGTAACTGAAAATTTACATTTTTTGTGCCTTTAATCAACTTTTTAAAGAAAATTCCACTCAGAAATGAGTTCTTTAATGGTAATAAAAGGTGTTGAGCCCAAAAACAAAAATTTTATAAAAATTCACAAACCTGCGGAAAAATGCAAGTTTCTTCACTTTGATTATTTTGACGAGAGCCTGATTCCCCCACGCTGCCTCACATTTTAATTTTTAGATGGCTGAATACTTCAACCCTACCTATTAAGGCCAACTTGAGTAGAATGGGATACACAATGTCCTCCCAGAAAGGGGGAGAAACTTGATAAAACAACTCCTCCTAGCTTTTTTGGTGTGCAACAGCAACAAGCATGACAATTATACCACAGAGATGAGAAGTCAAAAGGTGTTTATTAACACAAGAATGGTCATTTTGAGATAGGATCAAAACAGCAGTCAATATAAAACAGAATCATAGAGAACATATATGTAACCCACCAGTTAGTGCTAGTTTTATAATAGCACCAAAGCAAATATATGTATATATGAATATACTGTAAACCATTGACTTTTTTTGGCGTGTGACTTGAAAGGACAATTTTTAAAGAACACTGTGGGAATACATGAAAACAAATAGCAAAGCCAAAGTGTTCACAAAAAATTAAATGGGCAAAACAAGGAAAAAAGACAAGTACATAACCCCCCCCCCTCCCAACAAAACAGGTGTACAGAAAAGACAATACTATTTTTTGGAAAAGTTTATATCCCAGAGAAAAAGGCATACATTGACAGCCCTTTCGTTTAAACCAATTTCTAAATATGGTATCTTTTCTCTCTCAGCTGTTTGTTGATTAGAAGTAAGAATTAAGATGAGCCCTTCACAGTTGCGGTATGAGGAATCAATTATCAACAGCGTCAGTCAAGAAAGCCAGGATTTAACATATTACACCCTAACTCGCCCGGGAATTCCCTTACGCGCTCCACCCTGACTCGCCCGGAACCGCCCGCGTCGACCTAGCGTCTTTAGAAACGAAGTCTCGTCTCGTCTGGGGCCGAGATTTTCATTTACATAGTTATTGCAAAAAGTTTTTTCTTTCGTTTGATACTGAAACGAAATTTTTCGGGCCAGAACTTTTAATATTAGAGCTGAACGAAGTGCGATCGCGTTACCGACACTTCGAAAGAGTCTCGACTTGTTGAAAAGCGACACAATTGAGTTCGAAAAAGGAAATAACGATGGATTTCAGCACAAACAAGCATATGAAAAATCAGATGACTCAGATTTTGATGTAAACGTTGTAGCAAGAGTGTGGGGCGATTTCGATCTGACGCAGAAAATCTAGAATTTAGATCTAGGGCCCGACCGCGAGGTCGAGAGTGAGAGTGACGGGTCGGACACCCCGATTGAACTAAAGTTAGAACATTTCCAACAGTTTGCGCATACATAAAAGTTATATTTTTCTGAAACTACATTCATTTTTCGTTTTAACTTTTATTTTTTCAGGATTTTTGGAATTTGTTTAGTATTTTTAAAATGTGTTTTTTAAAGGCTAGTATTCAGGGGAGTTGGGTTCCTTCCCCTTGCTTAGGATCTAACAATGGACTTCCCGTCCAGACCCTTAGGGTGTAATGTGTTAAAAACAGAGAGATATCAATAACTTTCTGACCGTACATAAACACATCATGAACTGCCTTTCTCTACATAATTCATCCTCATCTCTCTATTGTGTTACTTGTTAAACCTTTTCACTGCTGGACCTGCTCTATAATATTACCAAATACCTCAAGAGGGTGGCGATCCTAGCAGTGAAGAGTTTAATTGGTCGCATTTAAGAGAAAATTGAAGGTAAAGTTTTTGAATCCCTATTCAGTTTCTTTAAAAGGCAAGGAGAGTTTTCTCTGTAACCAAACAAATATACACACCAATGAAACTAAACTTCTCCTATAGGTAGGGCAATGCCCATCTTTGGTGTAGGTCAAGATTTCTGGAAACCCCCGAAATCTGAGTTAGCCCGCTAGTCCTTAAAAGCGACCGATTACACTGACACTGACAACTCAATGGAAATCAGCAAAGGAACTCTTACCCGGATTGGGAACAGTATAGGGAACCAGCTAAACATGCCCGGCGAATGTGTCTCAGGAACAATACCTGCATGAAATAAATAAAAACTTTTATTTTCGTACAAGTTCCATGCAACAGAAACAAATTAGTTGCCTTTGGCCTAATAAAACGAAAAGAGACGGTAAGAATGTGAAGACACAAGGGCAAGATTATTAGATTGAGTATAAAAGTTGACGGCACTTGCAACACAATTAAGTCATGCAAATGCCGAAGATTGGAGGTGCTTCTAAAGAGTAACATACAAAGAGAAGAAGGAGGCGAGATAAGGACAACAAATGTTTGATAGGAGAGAAGAACCAAAGCACATCAGAGCACCCGCCAACAACACACAAAATGGAAGCTGCCAAGAACTAAAAACACTTTACGAATTCAGCACATGAATTAGAACATTTGACATACTTTTAACACAGCAACAAATACTGATCACTCAATATCCGATTGATTATAAAACGATTTACAATCCCAATTGACATAATTTACATCAATTATGAGGTGGGCTGCATCAACTTTGCAAGGGCCAACCCCAATGGAGTGAGGACCAGCATCCCAGACAAGACAGAAATAACATAATTCTATGGTTTTGTTTGAGGGGTAGACCTGCCAATCAGATACTGGAGTCATCGTGACTTCTTTATTCAACCAAGTCAGAGAGACGCACACTGAGACGATAATAGACATTTTGTGGAGGGGGAAAAGAGAAGCCAGGGGCAAAAACAGAGAATAAATGCAACTTACTTGGTGATAAAGCATATTATGACAAGCTCATATCTTACGAGGACAAATGACCTCCCCCCCCCCCCTCTTCTCAACTCAATGTTCGTCAGAATTTAAATATTTATAAAAATTTACTTACTTAACATGACATCTTTGTAAAGATTAGTGTCGAAGTATCCTGCAAATCCATGTACCAGCGCATCTTGCTGCACAGTGAAGTCCAAAGATGCGTATCGACAGTTGTCAATTGCTTCCTCTGTCAACAAGAGAGTAAAAGTTGTAGTACCAGTTCAACATGTGAACAGTCATAATGAGACTATAATGAACAAACATGCAAGGAAAACAAAGATTAAAAAAAAAAAGAATACTGATGTTTGTTAAGTACCCAATGCAAACTAAAAATACCAAGAAGATAATATTGCATACACAGACACATTAACATAATTAACATAAATGATAATACGCAGAGACAAGACGCAATTTCCAAAAAAGTTGAACAAATACCTGAACGATCACACCAATAATGCCTTCACGGAAAATACAGTTGAAATAATCAAATCTAAAGGAGATTCAGGTTATGAAAAGTTTGAATTCAGCGTTCAGCTGACTTCCACTCAAGATGAAATATAAAAGGTGAATTAATAAATAAGAAATACGACTAATCACAAAAAGCACAATGACAATCCTTTTTTGTCTGTAATCATTATATTCATATCAAGTGGAAAAGTGGAAGGGAAATCAAGTTAATTAAGACCCTTTGACCTTTGAGTGATTGTTTTGTTTTGAGTAAAGGAAAACACATCCATGGTAATTTAGCACAGGGAAAGAGAAAATAGAAAGACAGAAATAACATGGAATGTAAAGAGGTAGGAACTCCCAGTGAAGCCCACATCCGCAAGTTAAGATCCCTAAGAAAATGTGTAAAATTAAACATATAAGAAATACAGACAGTGCCTCTTACCTCTGTTTGGGTGCGTGAAAGTGAACACAGGTTTCGGTGTGTCTAGGACAGAGCAGTTGTGTAAACGTACCACATAGGGCATCTCAAAAGGAGCCTGGAAAATAAACAACATAACAATGAGAGGTCATGGCATGCCCCTTTCAATCTCAACACTGTTGTTACTTTAGAGGCAGGACCTCTAAACTGATAATTTATTTCTGACTAGGACCAAGCCAAGTAGGTGGAAAACCTTGAAAATTCATCAAACGAGACAGTTTAGAAATGTCCCTAAGGGCATTCCAACTAGGCCATCCGCATCCTATACCAGCATCAGACCCGCCACTCTATAAAATCTAAAAACCAGGATCAACGACAAATCACCAAAGTGATTACTAAGCTGACTTAAAAATTTCCCTGGGGTGTCCATACATACAATCTATATCCATCTATATATATGCAGATGTGTTAATCATTATTTTTTAAAATCCTGAAGAATCGCATCAGGGATATACACAAACATTTTTTTTTATTCATGAAAGTATTGAACAGTCTTTATTATACAAGAAATACAATACATAGATCTAGACACCCACAAGCATATTTGAATATCAAAGCAGGCTTGCTCTCGCTTATTCGGCCATGAAAACAAATTATAAGCCCCCCAAAATGCCAAATTTATACAACACCCCAAAGCAAAACTATTGCAGCTACATACTTCAAAATTGGTATGTCTAAAGATCCGTGCCAAATTTCAAAGCGATTGCACTATATCTATGGTTACTGGTGGGCCCTTACAAAAGTGCCAAAATGACCGGGTTCTGATTTGTATTGCTTATTAAACATTTTAAAAATTATGAAAGGACTTTAGCAAAGTAATATTACTTTCCAGAAATTAATAGGCCTAAAGTTAAGTTCAGTTCATATAAAGTTTACCTCTGGAGGTTTTCCTCTCTCTGCTTTAGAGCTCCGCACTTCATTGTAAAGTTTTGAGGACTGCAAAGGAGCCAGGAAAGACGTGTACTTCTCTGGTATACTGATCCCATCATCTGCAGGAAGCAGAGCAGACATAATAAAGGAAAATACTTTGACTGACCAGAACATAAGACTTCAATGAGAGGGAAAAAAAACGAGAGGAAGAAATAATAAGGTATAAAACACAGGTAAAACAGAAGTGTTAAAAATTACACAAAGCCATTTTGAAAGGAACAAATACGGAAAATAAAAATCTGGAAAAGAAGCAGAAAATGTAGAGAACACCATAGCGCCCATCAACCACTTGTGACTAGCCATTGTGAATTACGTTAAGCTAAACCCCCCCCCCCCCCCCAAAAAAAAAAAAAGCAACCATCTCATTAAAATAAAAGACAGTTTGGCCATATTTTAATCAAACCAAAAATGAGTAAAATAAATCCAAGACAACTGTAATTGATTTTACATGTCAAATTCTTAGCTTGCCTCTTCAAGTAAAAATAAATGCATTTCACAAAGTTCATCCAAACAGACACAACTGTGGGGAAAAAAAAGAAGTAGGATCTACCAGTGGCCCTCTCCAACCATCCACACGAGTAAGCCACAAATTCCAGCCAACACACACACAAAAGTATGAGTACAGGCTCCTTGTATGCTTTACCTTTGAGGGCTGGGACTACAATTTTGACTATCAAATGCAAAACGACAGCTTTACCTTTGAGATATTTTTGAGCGCCGTCCAAGCACTCAGGAGACAACTCGTTGTCCCCAAAAGAGCCCAGCAACTCGCTGACCAGGATGTCAGCTTTCTCCGGGGCCACCCAGTCTCGCATGTCACAAGACACAACCTCCACCCGGCTGCCCCACTCCTCCTCCTTCATGTTCTCTAACCTGTTTAGATGGAGAAAAGAGAAACATCATTCAGATGATTCATGTCAAACTTTAATTTGAGAAAACAGAAGCACCCAACATGATAATAAAATGTCATTCATTGCACCGAAGAAACAAGACGACACAGAAACAACAGAGGGAAAGAACAGAAGAACATAACAGTGGTGCCCTCCTGTCATTTGTTCTCAAGCAGTCAGAAAGTAGAAGTACAGTAGCAGCCACATTACAGCTCCAATCTAATTGGTTCCAAAAAAATGATATCACAGACAAGAAATTAAAGGAGCAGACCATGTAGACAAAAGAATAAAACCATTACGTCTTCCTCTAGATCTGTAACAGGAACATACTACACTTACAGAAACCCTGCTGATTCACAGAGAATGTGTTTGCAATTTTAGTTCAAGAATGACAAGAAGACACAAAAACGAACACATATTTCTTTAAACAATAACACAACTCCAGGGCATTGAACCAAAAAAGATAAAACAGCATAACATAAACACATAAAAACTTAAGTGTAAGATAAAAACTTAGGTATACGATAAACATTCAAGTCAGATGAGAACACAGATTACAATACAATTTTGGCAACTATATCTTTCGCAATATAATATCTCCAAAATCTTGGGCTTAGAATACAGTGGAATCTGCTTATACCAAACACACTTAATTGAAAATGACAGTAACCAAAGAAATAAAAACCCCAATATTGTTTTTCTTCTATTTCAGTAACTTCTCTAAATGAAAACCCCAGCAACATTGAAGAAAACCTGATGGTCCTACAGATTTCAGATTGAGCTGACTCCATTGTGTTTGGTTACCACATGCGAGAGAAAGAATAAAGCAATAACATTACAAAATTATCCGTCTCCATCTTGCTTTGCTTTAGATTAGTAAGCTTCTGTGCAAAGAAATGTCGCATATGTTTGAAAACAACACACACAAAACTTACGTAATAACTGCATTTGGATTTTTTTCAACGGCGTAAACTTTCTTTAATTTACACCCAGCCTCAATGGCAGCTGCTATAGAGGCACGCACCAGAGGTCCCCTGCCAGCTCCCACAACCATGATCACTCTGTGGAAAAAGACAGTAACAAATAGTGGGGACTCCATCTGGGAGATTGTAAAATGAATTTATGCCCTATCAACACAACTAAAACCACTGAAAAGGCATGCTGCTTTGACCCTACCTGAAAGGGTCAATCTCTGTAGACTGAGATACAGTATCCGGTAGTAGAAAGATGGAGGTACTGCATAAAATGACCTCCCCTCTCGGGAATCAAAGATTTGGAAATCATTGTTGCAGACTGTCAAACTTATGTGAAAGACAAAGCCATACTTACTTTCTGGGAGAACTCTCAAAGATCCCAACACATTTAACTGTTTTTTTACCCTCTTAAAGTTAACAATTTCTCAGAGCACTGCATTTATTTCAAAGAGCTAAACACTTTGGTAGAATTACACTGGCTCATGTTTCGCTGTTAAGCAACCAACACCATTAGATCTTGTAAATCTCAGCATAGGACCCAACTGACAGATGCTTGAAAAGAGTCAGATTAAGAAATGAAGGCATTCAATAATATTTACAGGAGCCAGTGCTCTCTGTTTAAGCATCAAAAGTGTTAATTGAGAATGCAACATTGTACAAGACTTACACCCATGTCAACACATCTTTTATTTGAATCTTTCAGAAGGTTTGCTGCTTTGACCTTGCCTGTCAGGGCTAATCTACACTGGGGCAGACGCTGATACTCCCATTTATGACAGACAAAGCCTTTCAATGTGCTCTCGAGAGGTTGAGATCGTGTTAACTGTAGCTAACACACTTATTTTTTAATTTCTTAACCTCTAGATACAAAAATATACCCTGAACACATTGATCTAGGTATCGAACCTGCAAAATGAGTAGAAAAGGGCTTTAAATAGATCTAAATGGGTTCAGGGTTTTCAATTTTTGTGAAATTATTGCTTCACCATATATTCAGTAGCTGTGATTGCTTTAAGAAAATCCCAAGTAGCCATAAAAGCTTTTAAAATAAAATTTTCTCAAAAAGTTAAATTCTTACAGGGCCACTTGTCACCAAAGCTGTGTTTGTTCGTTGGTGCCCATACCTGTCCACAACAGGTTTCTCTCTTCCCCGATCTTTGTTTTTGATGTATTATTCATTATTCAGGGGGTCGTGTTACAATTATCATTATTTCTCAAAATTTATCCTTTCAATCTCATTAAAATGGTGCATGTTTGTTTGTAAATTGTTTGGTGGAGCTATTAATTTGAGATGCACTTGTCTGTAGAACAACGATTGTGTCCGTGAGAGGTTTTGAACAATTGTTGCTTTTCTTTTTATTGTTTTAGTAGAGGGATTTTTTTTTTTTTATGGTAGAAGGTTTATTTTTTATTACTATAGTAGAGGGTTTTACGGCACTCGCAACTGCACAAGGTCATATGAGCGCCAAGGGGTGGGTGTCAACAGAGAAATCTTTACAGGGAATCAGACTTACTCTGCTCACCTCTCTAGCTTCAACAGCACAAGGTCTGCTTCGACCATCAAGGCATCCCGGAAATAGCAGGTCACAAGAGAGTGACAACATACAAAGGAAGTAGAGGAAAATGACAATAGTAAGGATTAGGAAAGAAAAAGCAGCAGTTCCCTGTTGTAGATCAGGCACAGTTATGAGCGTGACATAATGAATCAGCCCATTTACAATTCTACTGTGCATGAACAAGAAATGTTCCCCCTTTGGGAATGGCCTAAAGACACTACAGTCAGTGGCACTGCCCGGGGGGTAGTAGAGGTTTTACGGCGCTCGCAGCTGCATAAGGTCATATGAGCGCCAGAAGATTAGAGGTGAGACAAGAGAGTAACAAACATAAAAAAGAAGGAAGGGAGATAAGGACGATAGATGTTTAATAGGAAAGAAGAAGCAAACCACACCAGAGCACCTGCCAACCACCCACGTTTTTCTTTTTAATGGAACAGGGATTTCTCTGGAAGTTTCTTCCAATCATGCATTTGCCAAAACTTTCCTAATTCAAACACCAAAATTCCTTCGGTTGTTACCACGAATATGTGAGGCATTGTGGGGGAAATCAGGCACTCGTCAAAATAATGAAATTGAGGAAAAACACATTTTTCGAGCGGTTTAGCAATTTTTATTGAATTTTTGTTTTTTGGCTTTTATGTCTATTTAAAAACAAATTTCTCTTAGGATTAAAAGAAAACGATTAAAGGCACAAAAAATGTAAACTTTTAGTCATTTAAGCTCTCAAGCTATGGATGTCACCAAACTTTGGGTCCATTTTCTCATTAATTTTACCTCTGAAACAAAGTGACCCCCACCTCCTTCAAACACGAAAATCTCGACTTCTATTCAAGATATAGATAGATGGGTTATTTGTTCATCAAAAGTAGGACAAACGACCAAGCTTAATATGTCCAAAAATAGATGAGCGCCCGATTCCATTGCGCCGTGACACATATGTTGTTAAGAATATTTACTCACAGCAGTTAAAAAAAACCCATTGTACATAATGGTTAGTGAGTAATTTGATAAACAAGATTACAACATTTTGCGAGGCTTGAGACCACAATCTGACCACTTGTTGGAAACAGATGTGATTGAAGGGTACATTTCATCAGCAGCACATAAAAAAAGTTAGTTGTCCCACCTTAAACAACTTCCCCATGAAGGAATCCAACAAAAAAGAACCTTAACATTATTATGTCAGACACCAATGAGGTTGAATCCATTAGTTTCAGTAAAAGTTTTATGGCACTAGCATCACAATAAAGTAATTTAAGTGCCGAAGATAAGAGGTCTTACAATAGAGTTCCAAACATAAAACAGGGGGAGGAGAGGTGCTTGAGAGGGAAAAAAAAGCAAACCGTACCAGAGCACCCGCCAACCACGGATAGATTAATCCATCTAAATCACATTATCTACAGGCCTACAAGAATACTAGACACTGGACACAGAGGCAACCATTAGCAATGCCAATGAAAATTTAATTTTTCACTTTAGCCCTTTTTATTTGGGATCTAAGAAAGAATTTTCAATTCTAAGAATTATGCTTCTTGAATTTTAAGAATCGGTTCATAAATAAAAAAGTTATGGGGTTGTAAAGGTCGGCAAAATAAGGATGACCCACATATAGGAAAATACTCCTAAAAAGTGGACCATGCAGTAGCAGATTCTGTAAGAAAACCGACGATATCTCGGTAATTAATCGGAGTGTTAGAGAGAAATTTGGCTATCCGATGTGTTTTTGGGTGTAGAAATCATTTCTGCAGTCAGATTTACTACCCATTTCGTAGTTATTTTGTTATAATTAAAATTTTGGTGTACATATTATGATTTTGCGAAAAAGGGGTGTCGGGATGAGTCCATTTTATTTCTAGCATCGTATCACAACATGGGATCTTTAAGAATTTAAGAATATATTTTGCAGCGTGACTAAATAATTGCAAAGCTTTTTATGATGACTTTAGACCATGCCAACTGTAAAAGATATGTTAATTCAATCTAACATGCCTTACAATTAAAAATTCTTTTCCCCCATTGAGACGCGAACACCCCAAGAGGAAATAAGCTCGTCTCGGAATACCCCCATTGCGATGTTACGGGGAACAGAGAGAAAAACAACCGGATGCGCGCGCCCGCCATTGCCCTATTTCAAGTGACCAATGAACGGGCCCGGAATAGTCATGCGGGGATTCGTAGGTCACATACATTTGCCGTGAGAGTGAGGGGAAAATGGCCGGTCTCCGTGCAAAGCCGCTTTGGATAGGGGGGTAGTCATGCATTTATGATCGGGTCTAAACAACTACTTGACACAGAACGTTCAAATTTGAGCACAATATAGAGAATAGATAGATCTATTACCATCTCGGCGTCGAAATTCAAACTCCTTATAGTTTTCGGTGTACCCGATACGAAAGTGTTCCCGCCACCAAAAGTATAGGTTAATTTATGTGTACGAACTTCAACTTCCACATATCATTAGTTTGCCCTATTTTCTGATTGGTTGCCGAGTTTCATTCGGATTGGTTCGGAAATACAGCAGACCGAGGTTGACAAAGTCAGTCACCTACGCTTCGGCCGGGTCCGCAATTTCACCTGCAAACGGGGACCAAATTTTCGCCGCGCGGGAAAGCCCGATTGGCTACAACCATACAGGAGCAGGACTCAAATTGACTTACATTTCTGTTGTTTCTCTGTCTTCTAGTGGCACTCTGTCCAGCAATGCATGGTACACAGCCTGAAAGAGAAAATAAGGGGAAAAAAACCAAAACGGAAAATAATTTTAAATCTTAAACAGCATAAACTTTCTTCCTAAGACTTTCTTGTTGGTGCCTTAGTCTTAAAGATATTAAGTCAGCTAGCTGCCTTAACAAAATTATAACTATGAAGCTGAAAATTCACTTGGAGCTAATTTTCAGCTGCAATCAAAAACCTAATGATAATAATAGTGCTGGTATTTAAAAAAAATCTAGTCACTACTGATATAAACCTGCTTCATTATGCTACACAACTGTCCTCGAAGACAACTTGTCCTCCACCAATCCACAAGTTAAAACATCTGCAGGCTATTTTAGACAAAAACCTTGTCCAATTCTTATTTGACTGTTTAACAAGTTAAGAAAAAACAGGTTAATTTAATTGTTCTTGAGACAGTGATGATATGTAAGCTATTTAAGCAAAACTTCATTGACTATAGACTAACACCTTCTAAACAATATATCTTCAGGTGAATACCATTATGGGTTAGGCTTGAGTTCTTTCTCACTATCACTGCTGTTATTACTGAATTATAACTATAGCAGTGAAAACCCCCCCCAACTCCTTAGGCTAAACCACTTAAAAGAGTATATCCTAACTATGAGTAGACAGTAACAGAAAAGTTAACGTCTCATTTATAACAATAAAACATGACCACTTATGAAAACTTCTTCCAGATTTCATTTCAAGTTACCCAAAGAAAATGAGAAGTAAAAAATCTGTGTACACTTACCTTCTGGTACTGAGAGTATTTGATCGGATCTTTCTCAAAGATCTCATATGTTTGAGACTCTAAGTTGTCCATCAGAGGCTGTGAAAAAGTACATATATATATGTATTATAATAACATGGAAAAAAGCTTATCTACAGAAAATTGTACCTAACAACATTCACTTGCAGCTTGAAATCAGAATTGACTCCAAAGGCAAATGTGGAAAGCCAATGTACCTTTAACTCTTATCCTGCGTCTGTGCCCAGATGCGTATCTTATCAGCAACCGATTACGTCGGACGTGCCGGGCAGGCCGCTGGGGTCACTCAGTGTGTACTGTTAGTGTACAGCGCGCGCGCGCCGGGAAACGTGTGTTTTCGCCATGAATACCGCGGGAGTGTGTTAACTGATGATGAAAATAACGCTCTATCCTTCACAGCTTTCTATTTATAAAGTGTTACAAACACATGAATAACCCCCTCTCACAAGCTGATAAGACATTACGAGTAGTTACGCCCATTTGAATAACCTTTCTGGACGCTCTTGTTGTTATGACTGACCTGAGGTTCGAAAAGGGATAATTTATGTCAATTTCCGAATGTTTCACACTCAAATTGTTCTTTGTACCTGCACAAGGGTATTCAAAACTATCAAACAAGCTCATTTTTTATCAGGTAGTATCATTTCATACAAAATCAAGCTCATTTGAAATATTTTGTACAGAAAAAAAGGAAGTCTTGTTTCCTGACTATCCTTTCGAGCTCCTCATGTCTAAGTGGGTCAATTTCTTCTATAATTTCATTGGACGAACATCTAGAGCTATCAACTTGGCATGTTTTGAATGAGACGTATGCCTCGTTTACGAACCAACGCAGGTGGTTCTAGAAGAAGGCCACAAACGCACACAAACTCAAGCAGACTGACGCACACACACTTGACCTGCGTGAATGGGGATCCGACTCGGGACCCGAATGACACGTAAGAGGATGCGCGCTGCGCGTGCGCTGAGCCAGGAGCTACACTGACTCGGGACCAGAACGCAGGCGAGGTGCCGAAATAGGCTTATCGGGCTACATAAACCCGGCTCCCGCAGGATGAGGGTTAATGAAAGATTAGTATACCTGATAAAACAACTTCCATATAGGAATCCAACTCACTCATGGAATATCTTATGCAGCCATGCCAACCACTCCATGACCAAAAATAGTTTTTCTCAGAAACCTCCCTAAAAATCGCTGCTATGGGAAAAAAATCAGTCTCCAGAACCCCAATTGATTTAGATTAAGTTACGAACCGGCCATGGCAAATAAAAGTGTAATGCAAATGTACACAAAATAAAAATGTGTATTTTCATGTCATTTTATGACAAGTCGGGCAAATATTGCATAAAAACCTGTGTATTTTTATGTCATTTAGAATAAGTTGCATGCAACTAGTGGAAAAAGAATTAAAAAACAAATCACATTTGATGCAAATCTGATCAGGGTTCTTCAACCTTAAGAAAACCGGAAACCCCAATTTTTCCGGAATACTAAGCAGGACTGCTTCTGCATGCAATGACGAAGAGGCCATTATGCCACAGACTTCAGACTAAACTAGCATTACTTTTGACTTTCTCTAAAAACACAAAACGCTAACCTGAAGGGGAGACTGTAGGAAATCCTCGTAGCCCTTGGCAAACTGGCTGACCGTGTCCAGGGGGTCTTGAGTCTGCCACAAGTGGTCAATGTACTGCTGGTAGGCCCGGATTGTCTTGTCTGGGTGTCGGTCCTGACCAGTGATGATCACCTGCACTTCCAGCTGGGTCAAAATAACAGTGACATAGCGAGTGTTACTTCAACAAGCAAACTGTATCTTGGGAAGCAAAGCCTCTTATCTGCTACATAAAACTTTCACAACCCCTCACACTGCTAATGGTTAGACCCCCTTTTAACACCTACAAAAGAATGCTTGTGTTTAAAGCAGTGATGATGAGCAACCAACAAACCAACAACTGACCCTGTCACTTTTTTAAAAAATAAAGAGAAGTACACCGAAACAAAACAGTCATTTTAGTTTTTAATTTTAGTTTTAGTAAGACCCAAGCCACTAGCAAAACAATGAGGTCAAACAAGTGCCGAAGAATAGAGGAGTTATAAGAGAGTAACAAATAAAAAAGGAGAGGACAACAGATGTTCGGTAGGAAAGAAAGAGCAAACTACACCAGAGCACCCGCCAACCACCCACTTACAGCCATTGTGTAGTGAAAACAAACACCAAGACAGGCAAACACAAGAGAAGATAAGAACAGAAGAAGGACACCCAAAACCCCTCTCATTTTTCCTAACTCGCAACAAACTTTCATGAAAAAGCTCAAGATACTGCATAGTAATTCTTTAAAAAAAAAAAATTATTGTAAAGAGAAGCAAATTGAAACAGTAAACTAACACCTCTTACACTAAAGCCCATCTCTTTTTTCCTAACTCACAATAAACTTTCATGAAAATACTCAAGACACTTGTATCATAATTCTTTTCTATTATTACTGAGCTCCCCGATTCCGTAACTCTGAGAACACTAGCACACTTGAGCTAAGAAATTTTCAAACACATCAAAACAGTCCAAGTTTTAAGGATAGCAGGATCTCCAGCTTACGACAGAACACTTGAAAGAAATTATTTATTTGTGTAACAAAACTATACCCTGAGATTTGAGATTGATTTTTACCCCTCAAAGAAATACTATATAAACTAGATTACTTTTCAGAATAAAGTAAAGATAATTTCATAGTTCCATAAAAAAAAATTCAGACGGATTGCGAACTCAGTGAATGCCAAAATAATTCAGATAGTAGGAAAAGATACAAAAACTTACACAAAAAAACAAAAACAACAACAAAAAATCAACAAAAATTAAGAGCTAAAAATTTTCTCACCTTAAAGAGATCTTTAATAACAGACTGGTGAAGTTTAGACAAAACCGGGTATCCTTTCTTATTCGTGAGGAAGAGAGAAGTAGATACCAGGATGGCTTTGACAGGTTCCGACATCCACCTCTCGACAACTTCCCGGTCAGGCAAATCAGCGGTCAGCTCCAGAGCCACGCAGAGACGCTTGTTGTGGTCACATAGTGAGCGTAGAGTGTTCCACCTTATAAAACAATGCAAAACATTTTCAGTCTCTGTTTAACAAAACTTTTCATGTCCATGCAGTGATGGGAATGAAAACAATAATGGTGCATACTTCATGGAAAGGGTACAATGAGGTACACAGAAAGGAAACTACAATGAAAAGAAAATTGGGGAAGGAGGGAAAGAGATAAGAGAAAAAAAGAGGGGAGGGGGGAGTGTGTGAGAAAGAGAGAGAGAGAGAGAGAGAGAGAGAGAGAGAGAGAGAGAGAGAGAGAGAGCAGAGAGAGAGCAGAGTGAAAGAGAGACTTTTCCATATATACACAGACAAACCAGTTTAAACACCATTTCTAGCACTATGTGGTAAAGTACCATACTAACCAGCTCCAGGTATCTTCAGACTTGTCCTCTCCCATGTTCTCATCCAATCCTTCAATGACTTGATCACACTGAGCAGCAGGGCTGAGCAGGGGGACTTGAACCCAGTATTGCTGGGAGAAAAACAAAATAAAACCAAAAACAACTAAGCTAGGTAATCTAAGGATTTTGAAATGCAGGAATTGAGAGACATTAAGGGGGGGGAGGGGGGCGTTACACATGGAGGCTATCTCACTTATTACTGGACCGAATTTTACCAAATTTCACACATATAACAAGCATAGTAAGGAGTCTTAAAATCCGCAATCGAATTTGAGAAAAAAGTTCGTTTCCATGGATACGTCGCAATATTGGATTTTATTGACATGTCTTACGCAATGAATACCGCACTTATCGCTTATGGAAATTGATTGCTTTTTTTTGCACGCGTGCTCACAAACATTAGATCTAAAAATTCTTCTGTTTTTTTTTTTCCTAATCAAATTAGAAAATTTTTAATGAATTTTTTCCTGAGGTAGCATTCAGGTTTGCGAAAATTCCGTGAAAATCCACACTCCAGACACCACCAACGAAAATCTATTCCATATATCAAAAATTCAACAAACAAATTTTTAGTATTACCTCTTCTCTTAATTCTGTGAAAATTTCATGAAGATTGGATGAAAAATGGTGGAGTAATTCAAAAAAGTATAGAGAAAAGTCGCATTTTGAGAAAACGGCTGATAAAGAAAAATAAAATACTGACTTTATGAGAAAATGGCGGTTACAAACATGCCCGGTATGGGAAAAAATACGGTTTTTGGGGGTTCTTATGCCATGAAATAGTTGTAGGAGAGGCTAAGGAAGCTAAAAATGCCTACAACTCAAATTCCTTGATTTTGAGCCGAATTTTGATTTTGGGGGTGTAGCCCCCCCGCCCCTAAGAAATAAATGTAAACAGACAAAAACATTTTAAAATCAACTCTACACTACAAGTCCCAAATTCAATTACCCCACCCCAAATATTTGCAAAAGATAACTATGTCATCCAATCCCCCATCAAATTTTAGACGTTGCAATTGCACAACAGCTTTCCAGAATGAAACAGATGGGCTTTGAAAAATACACCCAAAAAATTGGTTCAATTCAAATGTAAGCTTTGTTAATAATAGTTAAGTGCACTGCACCATTTACATTAGCATGCAGGCAGTCTTATCCTTTTATCATAATACAGGCAGGACTCTTTTCTTTGTAGGTAGAGCATCAATGTGGGCACTCATGGTCTTTAACAAACCAAGGGTGCAATAATGCTGAGTGAACATAAAACAAAAAGTCCTTAAACAATCGAGGCAGTTTCAGGTTTGGTAGAGTGGCATGAAGAGAAGCACATTGAAACAGCAACAGCCATGACGTGCAAGGACAAAAAACAAGAGGTACAGACTGAAATAAGAGAGGGAATGAAAAGAAATAAGATCTTCTAGTGACACTTGCCAACTGCTGCAGTATAAATGAGTGTGTTACCTGTTGATAGTAGTTGGCGACGAAGTACTCGTTGAGACACCTGGCCAAGTTGAAACACTTGCCACTCCGCAGCGGCATCATGACGGCCGGCAAACCCAGATGGGCTGCCCATGTCAACTCCTCCTTAAAAGCCTTGATGAAACAAGATGGTAAGAAACAAGAAATTAGTCACAAATGATTTTTGTTATTAAAAAAACCCCAACAACTCAAAAACTGGACAAATTTGAAGCCAACTTTACTAACACTAGAATTTGATGACTATCCAAATTTAAGACCAGATATGAAACAATCAAATTACCCTCCTCCCAAGTAACCAATCAACCTATTGCACTGAAAAAAGAGGCAGATCCCACTTGAGGAAGCATAACTGGCATGAACATCTATTCTCAGATCATATGCCACCATGTGTCACAACTGCACCTTCGGCAAATTACCTCTACATTTTTCTTTGGTTTAGCATGCTGGCCTCCTGTCCCACCTTTCAAATTACTGTGGCAACTACCATTATTATACACCCTCCATTTCTAGAATGTAGCAATGGTATCACTTTCAACTTAATTGCATGCAGTATTCACCAGCAAGAGGCAGACAGGGAAACCATTAACAAAAATGAAATCTTAATGGTAAAAATGCTAGCAACCACTTTACCAGTTCTGAGTTTGTGCGAGTGTGATAATAGTCAGAGTCAATGTGCAGCCAAGGGGAAATTTTACCGACAACGAGGGTATTCCAATCTGAAAGGAAAGTGAAAAAAAATTACATTACTCCATTTATACTGCAAAAATTAAAAACACAAAAAGAGATAGATAAAATCATCAGTCAAAGAATTAATTCTTCAGAAGCTTCATATCGATACATCACTAGGAGTTTGACATTACAGGATACCAATACCATAACTTCAAGAGTATTTAATTTGTCAGAGACGCCTGGAAGAAAATACTAAGCACGGAAAGTGTAGGACTTGAAGAAGGTATGAACCAATGAAAAGACAAAAAATATAAAACTAGTAATTGGAATATTTATTCCTGACTTTACTCTCACAATCTATTCAACCAAAGATCTTCGCACCCTCATCTGACAGATCTTTAAAATATCATCTCATTCACTAATACTGGGATTATAAAAATTATTAAAACTTTCGGGATAAATAATGTCAACAATCAGCCTTTCTCTGCTTCAAGAATAGTATCAATGAGGTGAATAAATCAGAGTAGAGTAGGACACACACCTTGACTTGTCAGGCACATATCCGATCTTGTCAGAGCACATTTTCTGTTTTTAGCTGGTCCGTTGATGAATTCCCTCTTGAAGCGAGGGTTGACCATTGGTAAACAGACGAAGTCATAACTGTAAGCATAGGAAGAACTGAGTAAACAAAATGAAATATAATATAAAAGCGGAGAGATTCCGTTAAGGCAGGTTCGACTGTATACTATATATATATGCAAAAATGTTGGAAGGATACCAAAACAACTACATTTCACTGCCTTTTATTTGCTGCAGAACAGTGTAGGACATATATATGGCCACTAAAGCCCCCGCGGATCAATTGTTTTTAAGAAAATATCAAACATATAAACTGCAAAACAACATGGAAATACAGGGGGACATCGCCCCTGCAGGTGGAGAACCCCATAGTTTTACTGGGGAGCAAAGAATGACACTGCCGTGATACCGTGTGTCATAAGAGGTAAGTAAAAGGTGCGTAGATCTGGTCTCCCAAAAAGTGCCAGTTTGCGGCCCGACCCTGTAAAAACTGAAAGTTACAGAAACACGAACAAATATGCCTATTTATTTTTTAATCTTGGGAGAGAGGTTAGTTTTTAAAATAGTTTTAGTAGAGGTTTTACGGCGCTCGCAAAGGTCATATAAGCGCCAGAAGATTAGAGGTGTTATAAGAGAGTAACAAACATAAAAAAGAAGAAGGGGAGATAAGGACGATAGATTTTGATAGGAAAGAAGGAGCAAACCACACCAGAGCACCCACCAACCACCCACGGGGAGAGAGGAGCTTCTGCATCAGCAATAACAATTAAGGAGAAGAGTCTCCTGGAATACCCTGATATTATAGAAACGAAGTGGCTATAAGTAGATTCGGACTCGAGTCTGAATAGCCTTCCGTTGCCATTCGTTTCGGGCTCAAACTTCAATGATAAATATTCCAGCACGACATACTGATTGGCTGATGATTTTTCAAACTGCCTTTTCTGCGGTCATTTTAAAAATTGTTTTCAAATTTAGTTTGCACTTTATTTGTCCGCAAGAAATGACAATTTTAATGACTTTACTAACATTTTGAGCTAACACCCCTGCTTCAGAATGCAGAAGGATTGTTGCTTGGTAACACTGATCAGAATATAATGTATATATATATATTGTTTTGTCCTGATTTTATTTGAACATCATGTAAAGTATGTTGCTGGAAAAGCTTTTCCTTTAGATTATTGTACTTTGAATGAATGACTTTTGTTCTCTTTGGAAGGGTTTTAACTTTTCTCTTCTTATTTTCTAACTTGACTTCCAATTGATCAATGATTTGGTCTTTCTTGTCAAATAAAGCGGGTTTGACGACCTGCTGACAATTATAATCCTTTGTTGTTCTGAAACTTTGATTTTCAATTTTTTCTCACTGTTTTCAACTCAGACTGGGGATTCCCTGTTTTCCTTTGTTGTGTAGTATTTCAGAATTTGCGACTGTTTTTCAATTTTGATGTCAATAATACTTTCCTTGTTAATTTGTGTTGAAAATTTTCGCCAGACCGCAGAAACCAAGGAAGGCCAAGGACCAATTGCCTGTCTGCTTCACATCCAGTACACCCCGGGATTGCGCATGCGCAATGGAGTTTTGAGTCCGAATAGCAACAGGAGGCTATTCAGACTCGAGTGGGAATAGCCGCAGCCTTATGGAAAATTGGCGAAGAGAAATAACATCAAGCTCAGGACAAGGAAAACGTGGAAGTGTTTTTTTTCATGGGCCACCTATATTCAATATTCTCACCCCTGTGAGAATAGCTCATGACGCGATATTCTCACCCCCACCCAAGTGTGGGCATGAGGCCAGAACTCACCCCTGACCTCTCGCGGGGCGATAAAATCACCTAAGCCCTTGGTGGCTTACTATAAACCGCATGAAGTTGGGACATAACTCATGAGTGCTTGGCGTTTGTTTCCTCATGTAGGCCAATAACTGAAATACCATTGCCATAGTCTTTATTATTTTTTTTAACGAAGTGACTTAGGTTCAAGGTGCTGTAAACACAGTTTGCAGGCTACTTTCGCTGCACCCTGAATAATCCAACATTGGCACTGTAGAGGCCCGACTGGAAAAGCTAGAGTTGCTCAAAGTAAATGAGGAAACACCACAAGAATACTCGTGTGAAAAATAATGCGGCAGTGGTCCGAATGTAACGGAATTTTACGGAGGGCTAAGGCGGGCACAGCAAAATAGCCGCCGTCGACAAGGCCTCGTTCGCTCAGCGTGCGGAACACGACTTCATCCTCTCTTCCCGTGTGTGGACCCAGCAAAGCTTGACAATTTGAAATGTCATTCGAAGAAACAAGGGAAAATGGAAGATGGCCAAGGTAGCAAAAGGGGTGGGAAGGGGTGAAAAAAAAGAAGCAACCCGAGTCCGAATAGATAAAACCCATATATATTCGGACGCGGACGCGAGTCCGAAAAGATAAAAAATTTAATCGTACTCAATTCCAAATAGAGCTGGCCCATAATGTAGCGCGTGGTTTGCACTGGCAGTCTCCAAGCTTCCCTCGAGTCTTTCCTAGAGGTTCCCTTTAGAAAGCTACTTAAGTACTGCTTTTTCACCTCACAGTCCATTTGCAAACCTTGCAGTCTCGAATTTGATCTATTCCATTTGCAGCTCAGCGTCCTATTGAGTCCAATCTCTTGTAAGTGTGCTTAATTTCTTGTTTACAAAATTGAAAAGAAACGATCTGGATCGAAACGGTCAATCATTTGCACTGCATCGTTGAACTTCGCTTGAACTTGCTTCAAATAAAGGTGCTTTTTCGGTAGTTCCCACCCCCCTTATTTGAGCCTAGATCTACCTCTAAACCTAAATCTATATGTTTGATGCGCGGCGAGCTACGATACCAAACCTAACAAGTGCAAAACATCAAATCAGGGGGGCAACCCCCCACCTTATTTTTTTTTAGGTCAGGCGCCCTTGAAACCCCCCTACTCTTGGAGCCAAAACCCGCGAATAACAACAGTTGCGGGGTGGGAACTACCGAAAAAGCGCCAAATAATATATATATAGGCTTACTCTTAGTCTTCTTCTTCTCAGTTTATGTAATCATTAATTTACAGCATCAGAATCAATCTGGGCGGAAGAAGGGTGCTGCACAATCACAGACAATGGAACCGAACAGTTCTGCAAGTTGCAAAGAAAACAACCCGAGTCGGCACGCTGCCGTCGTGCGGTTGGTTGCCACCATGACTGACAAAGTGGGAATCCCTCAAGGCTCAATCCCTCAATGACGTCAAACAAGATGGCTGTTACTATAAATATCGGCCAATGGTGAATCCAGGGGTTGATTGGCATTCGGCCCGGAGCTACTGTAACTGTACTTGTTCCAGGGCCTGCAGCACAGCGTAGAGGTCCCAATAACGACTGCAGATGGCGTTCAGTCAGTTTAGTCGTCGTTCTCTGTCACTAGACTGAGACACTCTTAGAATCTAAATCTACTACTAGATCCAGTACTAGTTGGTACTCTAACTATCCACTTGTGACGTCTACATCTAGATCTATCTAGTTATCTAGATCTAGTATCATGGCCTCTGGAATGGCAGTCCCCGAAGAAGGCTCCAGCTCCGGTCCAATGATTCCTGTCGTCTGGCGTGTGGCACAAGTCCTGGTGCTTTTTCGGTAGTTCCCACCTCCCCTTATTTGAGCCTAGATCTACATGATCTAGATCTAGGTCTATAGTTTGATGTGCAGCAAGCTAAGATAGAAGGGAGTGTATACAGACCCGGTAACCGGAAACTAAGTCACGAAGTATACAGACCCGGTAGGGGAACTCTTTTGTGAATTCGGAAAGTTTCAGCGCCCTCTTGGCTCAGGTTAGACCTAGACCTAGGTTCTTCTAGATCTAGATCTATGGCCTAGGTCTAGATAGACAGACATAAATCATTGATCTAGTTTCGAGGTTAGCCTAGATCTAGATTAGATCTAGATCTCTAGATCTCGATCTAGATCTCTAGATCTAGATCTCTGTCTCTAGACCTAAATGAAGATTGCGGATGTCTTTTCGATGAACGATCGTTTTTCCTCCGTTTTTTGGACTTGGAGGAATCACAATTTGAAGAAAAGAACAGTGTCATAATTTCAATCGAGCAGTCTCTCTCTCTACTCTCTCTCTCTGTATCGCTCGCATTCTCTTTTTCTTTGTTTGTCTTTCTTTCTCCCCACCTATATTTTTCTCGTTCCCTCATGTTACCTGGGGCATGTCATATTTTGCTAGCACTTTCCCCTGCTCTCTCTCTCCTCACACACACTACCGGGTCTGGGCGCTGAAACAACTTTCCGACCTCACAAAAGAGTTCTCCTACCGGGTCTGTATACTTCGTGACTTTGTTCCCGGTTACCGGGTCTGTATACACTTCGAAGATAGAAATCTAGATCTAGATCTAGATCTAGTATATCAAACCTAACAACTGCAAATCATCAAACTAGGGTAAATCAGGGGGGTATGCCCCCCTGAAACCCCCCACCTTATTTTTATTAGGGTAGGGGGGCAATCCCCCTGAAACCCCCCTACTCTTAGGGCCAAAACCAGCAAATAACAATTGCGGGGTGGGAACTACCGAAAAAGCGCCCAAGTCCTGACGACCTGCAGCAGGCACGGCGCCGCACACACTGTATGAGTGCCCACATGGGGTTGCACATCAAGGCCCGCTTATGGAGAACAATGTGAGACTGGGCCTGGATGTACTTTGGACGAAGCCACACGAAGTTGCCTCCTGGCTGTCACTGTCACTGGTCACTGTACTGTCTGCCTGCAGTCTGCTGACCTCCTAATAAAGGCCAGCCAGAGGGAGGAAGGAGGGAAGTCCCCAAAGACAGCATAAAAGGTGGTGTCTCCCAGACGCTTTGGGCTAAAATAAAAGGCCAAAACCATACGCCACGCCGTGGCGTAAAAGGCAAGGCAAAGGCAGCATACCAAAAAAAAAAGACTTCAAAAACTTACCCTGCTTTGCATGAGGACTCCAAGGCAATCCCGATGTCAGGACAGCAATGGAAATCTCTGGCACAAGACGCTCTTGTGTTTACTTTCGGCATGCTTCCCCTTTCTTCATTCAAATGTTAATGGATAACTAAAGGCTTTCCTCCCTTCGGCCTATACTTTTCAATACAGACAAAAGATAACGGGTTGTGAACAGTGAGCCTATAGCCTATAGCAGATTCTAGTCTAATAGATTGATCTACTTTAGTATTATCGATATCTGGTGCCAAAAGAACGTTTGCCAGATTTAGGAAGGCTGAGCGGCTGGCTGAGCGTGCAAATTTTGATAAAAGCCGCGATTTGTCCGATCATTTGACTGTTCTAATTTTGATAGAATGAGCTGATCTATAAATTAACAACATAAAGTATCAGTTGTATCCCTGAGCAGCAATTGTTTTGTTTACTAACGTTTACCTAATTCAGAGGTGCCCTCACAGGAGCTCAAAGTGATTTCTCAGGATTTATGGGTAGGCCTTTGGATATGCCCTTATCTTTGTTGAATATAATAATATTATTATATTTTTGCTCTGTTAGTGTGTTTAAAAACACACATGACAATAATATAACGTCAACAATCGCTACCACTACCACTACCACTACCACCACGACTACTACTACTACTACTACTACTACTACTACTACTACTACTACTACTACTACAACTACTTCTGCTGCTGTTGCTTCAACAATAGCGCTGCTTCTGCTGCTGCTGCTGCTACTGCACTACACGCAGTGCTGCTTTAATATTACGGCACACCTTATACTACAACTACTGCTGCTTCTATGACTGCAGCTCCCTACTCATAATTACGACTCTTACTACAAATGCGGCAGCCACTACTGATTTCCTATGTTGTCATCTCTTGGTGATCAATAGCTAATCATAACAATCAGTATGTGTGGGTGGTTGGTGGGTGCTCTAGTGTGGTTTGCTCCTTCTTTCTTATCAAACATCTATCGTCCTGATATCTTCTCCTTCTTTTTTGTGTTTGCTATTCTCTTGTAACACCTCTAATCTTCGGCACTTATAGGACCTTATTGTGTTGCAAGAGCCGTAAAACACTTACTAAAACTAAAAAGCCCTATGTGTAGATGGCTCAAGAAAGGCTTTGGCATAAAACAGACAAACTGGCATTAAAGTTTTGAGCGATCTGTCTCCAGATTTTTTTCTGCTTCACGTCGTTGGTGCACCCATTCGCAAAGTATTGACGTAGTGATAGTTTTTCGTTCTTTACATTATCCTTAAATTAAATACGAGCATGAATTTATTCCTTGTTGTACTAAGACAACGCCTGCTTCACCAAACAACACCAAATTGTTGATAATAAAGTCTCAACACTTGATATGCATTGGAAATGCAGAGTTAATTAAAATTTCTTTTAAAAAGCGTCGTGGTAAAAATCTTATGATACATAGCATCAGAAGAAGTCAGGTTCGAGTTGACTTCTCGTTTGCTTTAACCGTTACAGTTTATAACCTATATCCAATACACTTTACAATCTGGAATAGGAAACCAATGGCTCAATTTTTGGTTATTTTTATTACGACACATAGCGACCGGAATTCATATTATTATGATGCTATAATTTTAGGTTGGAAATAATGAAAATCCGGCTCCGTCACACTTTTGTGAATTCTACCCTCCTTGAAAATTTGAGTCTGTAAAATGTGTGGTTTCTTTTAAAAAAATCAGCACTTACTGTGGCTACAAAAATTATGAATTACATTATATTGTAGATTTTGTGCAGCCTGATTATAGACTTACGTGTACATGTATTAAAATTCATTTTAAGGCTACCCTGAGGAGGTGGACTGCTTCGATGCCTTCCAAGACTAACTTGGCTGAATGGGATACACTGAGTGACACTGGTACTGGTAATAACAGGCTTTTCACGCGGTATCTGTTAAAAAAAAAATTCCTTCTTTCTTACCTTCTTTCTTTCTTTCTTTTCTTTCTTTCTTTCTTTTGTTTGTTCTTTCTTTCTTTTTTTCGGGGTTATTTATAAGGGGCTGTTTTTTTGGTTTTTTTTTTGTTTTACTAGATATCATCATTAGCATAAAATTCATGATTTTAAAGAACCTTGACCTATGTGCCACATGTGAGATACAAATAAATAGATCCGGTATAGCCTAGTAGAGAACACGTTTCACTGGAAGACGTTTTAGGGCCAAGTAATCCCCACATTCACGTTTCCATTCCTAGTTGAAATTGCAGTAAAGCATATCTCTGCTAGGTAGGATGAGGCTAAATTGATAACACACCATAATGAAATTTTTCTTGGTAAAAAGTTAGATTGCATTTCACAGAAAAAAATAATATGTTAATCTAACCCCCCCCCCAACTCCCTCATAACCTCTGTGGTGGTAAGATGACGAAATAATTATTGCCTACATCCTCTTTGTAAACAAGGGTATTTGTTTCTGTCTTGGTCTATTGGTAACACAATGAGAGAAAAAACAATGCTTTTGAACTAGATCTAGAACCCATCACCCAGAAAGTAATAGCAATAATAACTTAGCCAATATTTGAGCTCCTCCATGGATGCTTCGCAATCACCAAATCCAGATACGTGTCAGGCTCGGAAACTAACCGGAAAAGAATACTTTTAATCTCTCTTTACAGCTGTAAAAACTACCTTGTTAAATGACGGTCACAACTATGCGCTATTTATAATGATAAAGGGAGATTTGAAGTAAATGCCAAGTGCAAAAAAGTGGACTTTTAAAAAAAAGACATCACTGAATTATACGATATGCTATCTGTGAGTGTGGAATACATTTTCAAACCTCAAATAAAAGATAGAGTTTTATAACCTATGTGTCGAAGTTTCCCTTAGCTTTAATAATTGCTTATAATTTGAAAAGAAGAAGAAGAAGAAGAAGAAGAAGAAGAAGAAGAAGAAGAAGAAGAAGAGGAAGGGGAAGGGGAAGGGGAAGGGGAAGGGGAAGGGGAAGGAGAAGGAGAAGGAAAAGTAGAAGGAGAAGGACTGCATTGCATTAATAGTCCCATAACTCACATCCATCATATCCATGCTTCTCTGTATGATCTAAAAGCTTTAGAACTATATTATAATTTATATCAACCTGTAATAGTATTGGTGATGCTGTTAGCATTTATAATGGTACAGGCGGCTCACTTGAATACTTGAACAACTTCTTAAAGAAAACTTGATTTTCTTTTAGCGGGACTTTGAGCCTGAACCATTGACAGTGAGCCACGAGTCTATGGAAATACATGTATTATGTAAAGTTATGAGAAGCAGTGGCGGTGGGTGGACCACATTTTGGGTGGAGCTTAGGCTGCTTTCACTTCTTTACCACCAAATAGCAAGCAATAAGAACAAAACCATGGTGATTTTTCATACTCACGGCCAGCCACGGCATTTTGAGAACTATTCAAACTAGAACTAGAAGAGTCACCGTTGTCTTCCTTCTCTTTGTTCTGCGTTAATTTCTTCTGAATGCTAGGGACGAGACCGTTTCACCTCCAAATTTATCGAATTAATTTTCATCTCATGAAGAAAGTTGACTCTAAAGTGGTTTGATGTAATTAATAACTGTTAAATTTCAGCGGCATACACGCAAACATGCATACACAGCACTCCACGAACTGGATTAGGCCGTGTAGTCGAGGAAAGTAGACAGCACCTGACAAAGGTCCAATGGGAGCGTAGATATCTGTGTCACGGGGGGAAAGTGAGTCGTAAATTTTCACCCCATTGTCAGGGCTAGGACAGCGTGAGCCCTCTGTGCAGTGTTATTTTTTTCAAGTCTGCGACCTTTTTACAAGAAGAGTTTCATTAACGAGGGTCCGTGGGAACGGGCTCATTCTTCGTTGAACCCTAAAGACATTTGATTGGTTGTTAGGTTATTATAGTTGTACGCAGTGGCAACAGTGATTGGATAAACGAGCAAGCCGCCAAGTTGATCACCCTGTGTTCATTGCGTGCTACCATAACGGTTTCAACCGCTTATTTCGTTATTTTCATTTGCTTTGGGATAGAGCTGGGGTGGGGTGGGGGTGGGGGTGGTGGGAAGGGGGGCTTTAGCCCGTGAGCCCTTCACTACCCACCGCCACTGATGAGAAGGGGAAGCTCATTATGAATTTCGTAAGCGATGATTACGCTTTACAGTCTTTCGACTCAGAAGTCGAATCTTCGGAGTCTAAGAAAATAATAAATGGTTTAGCTTCGTATTGTTTAACCCTACAGTAGCAAATAACGTCTTGTGTGCAGGTGGGAATGTGAGGCGGGAGGGGTGGGGGTCTGCAGAAAAAATCTCGCTACAAATAGGGGACATACAGGAGAGCCAGTTATCCATGATTTAAAATGTGGAAAGTCGGCCAAATGTCTAAAACAAAACTGTTTTTTTTTTCGTTTTCAAATAATAGTGCGCCTCATGTTTTGACGATTCTTTTCTGACACCAGAGCAGTAAACCCTTAAAAACATTCATATCGTGGGCGAGGTCAGAACTGCATTATAATATGTTTATAATTTGGGATGCAGCCATGCATAAAAATAACTTTGCCAGAAGTGGGCGTACTCTCTACAAATTTTCTACTGTGGTGTGCGTTTGTGGACTCATGAGCAAGACCTTATGTCGTGTTTTACTTTCGTATCCAAACGACGTGGGGAACTCTGTGCCACCATTTTCCAAAGAGGAAATTTACTCGGTAATCCGATCCGTACGCTTTGCATAGCAGCAGTCTGTCAAAATGATTTTTTTGAGAAATACTGAAAGTTTCAAAGAGATCTTTGTACCAGAAGTATTCTAAAAAGTGAAGAATACAACCCCGGGGGTACAAAATGACCCCAGGGCGTTCGGATAGAGTTAAAATAAGACATTATATCGTAAGACATTATAGCGAAGTAAAAGAAATTCGAGGCGCTATTAGTCAAATATCTATTTAACAGGCAAATCAACCGCACAGCAGTTTGTATCAATCTGTGTCAGCTTGTTCGAAGTTTTGTTGATAGCATTCATAGCAGCCATAGAATCTAAGCTTGTTTTGAGTTCATCCCCCTTACCTTTTTGAGATAGACTCGACCAGAGTCTATTATAAAAATTAACAGAGCATGTGACTGCTTATAAGAGTGGCTCGAAAAAAGGGGGGGGGGGGGGGGGGGGAGAGGAGGGAAGTTATATTTAAATAGCAACGAAACACTGTCGCGTGTTCACGCATTTTTTCACAAATCTTAAA